TTAATCCCTATAGCTAATCTAGTTAAAATGGAGTAAATCTCTGGATTTACTGGTACAGCTGGAGAAAACTTGACAGTCATGTGGCCAGGAGTGATGCCTCCTTGTGACCATTATACTAAAGAGCTCTTTGTTTCAGGCTCATGTACAGTCAGGAATGGTTCCTTCTCACCCAACTGCCCATGCTCCAATGATGCTAATGACGACACAGCCACCTGGTGGTCCCCAAGCCGCCATCGCTCAAAGTGCACTACAGCCCATTCCAGTCTCGACAACAACACATTTCCCCTATATGACGCACCCTTCAGGTGAGGAGTGTGTGCCCGGGAGACCTGCACCTTAACTGAGCCAGGTCGTAGTAGTGAGAACTGTTATGAAACAGATTTGGGGAAAATAACAAAAAAAAAAACCAAACAAAAAAAAAACCTGAAGATGTCCTTGTAGAGTGGCAGGCTGCTGAAGGCAGACTGTTTCTACATTTTGCATTTATACTTTGCCAGCCCAAATGTGAGCCTAGATAAGCGTGTGAGATTTAGCTAATTTAGCAAAGATGTTGCTTCTCTCTAGCTGAAGTAGAGAAATGGATAACTATGCAGATACTGGCACTGTGGGACTGTGTTCTTCCAGGGTTTGCTGTGGTTTTGCTGTGGGGGATGGACTGTTTGTGTAGCCTGTTTATAATGATCTGGGGTTTTATTAAATACAAAGTGATCGGTCTGGAGGATAGGAGTGAAAATGTTGCTTGGGGGTAGGGCTGTTAGACTTCTAGTGACTGAAGTAAAGTGACACTGAAGTCTAATCTTTAATTCAGAGAAACATTCTGCAGCTTTACTTTTTGGGAAAAGTAGGTGCTGTATGACTTCTTTCTACTTTAAATTTAACCTTACCTAGGTTTCTTTATTATTCGTTTCCAAACAGCTTCTAAACTTCTGTAGTGAACTAGTTACCTGATCTTGTTTCTTGGGGAATGTGTGAGCAGAACAAGGCTGCTTTCTGAGGGTTTAAGTAGGGAAAAAAACATCCAAAGGACATCTTGATATGCAGGGTTTTGTTTTGTTCTCTTAAAAAAAAATAAAAAATAAAAAAGGAAAAAAAGGAAAAAAAAATTTAAAAAGTTCAGCTCAGTAGTTGTCCTGTGACCACTTTACTAGCAAACTGTTGTGTGGCTTGCCAATTTATTATTTACATTTGAACTTTTTTTTTACAGTACAAGCCCACCACCAACAGCAGTTGTAAGGCTCATCTGGAATAACTGAAAGGCTGGATACCTTTTGTAGGCCAAATACCCTCCTTCTACTGCTTCTGCCAACTGGAAGCACAGAAAACTAGAATTTCATTTTATTTTGTTTAAAAAAAAAAAAAATTGATTTCTTGTAACATCCACTAGGAATGCTAACAGTTCATCTTGCAGTGGGAGAGATTCGGACTGAGTAGAGGCATTTAGGAACTTGTGGGCTATTCCATAATTCCATGCACTGTATCTGAGTCCTGCAAGTGCCCCAACTCTGCTTGCTGAAAACTGGAAGTTATTTATTTTTTAATGACCCTTCAAAGTTATGAACTCATCAGCTAGCAAAAGAAGTAACAAGAGTGATTCTTGCTGCTATTATCACTAAAAATCAAGACTTGGAGATCCCTTTTACTTCTAACTAAACTTGAAACAGGTTCAGTAAAAAAAAAAATTCTAATCGTCAAACTGATGAATTATTATTTATAAATCACGTTTGATGAGATAATCACTATCGTGAGACAGTGATGTAACTTTTAAGTTAAGAAAACTTTTACTTTGTAGATAATATAAAATAAAAACTTAAAAAAAAATTAAAAAATAAAAAAAGTTTTAAAAACTGACCTACTTAGTGTTTGTGTCTTGTTTTACCAGTATCTTATTTTCATGTGTTCTCCAGCTTTCAATCCAAATTGGAGCAAATGTTTTATTTAGCGTCAGGTAAGCTTTGCTTTGTGTGTCTGTTGTGTGCTGCTGCTGTGTCGTGTGTGTGTGCCCCACACCATGAAACCAAATCTGTTATATTTGACTTGCGGGGCCATTACAAAAATAAGTGAAAGGTTTCAAGATAAGAAGTTGCTGAAAACCTGTACCAAACTTCTCGTGTTCGGATCAATTCCCTAATGCCTCAGCCTTACACTGTTCTGGTGGGTGTCACAGACGATGTCACGACTGGGCCTTGAGGCTTAAGATGATAAAACTCTACAAAGTCAGTGGTGCTGCTGGAGAATGAAAGCAAGAAATCGGGGTAAGCATTCCTGAGCAAAATGGTAAAAAGATTGGGAAAAGGATAGGAGAAAGCACAGTTGACTACCACCTCCCTCAGTAATGTGCACACTAGTTATTGCTGCTTATAAAGTGCTGGGGTCTTCCTAACTGTTCTGTATGGTTACAGGCATCCTGCGATGGCTAACCAAAAGATGATGCTGGTTAAAGTGGATTATAATATAGTTGCACTTCAGAGGCAGGGCAAGTAAACTGTACAAGCTTTCATGGATGGCCATTAATGTCACATCATGGCTTGGTGAAAAACATGCAGAGGAATACAAGTACTGCTGCAGCTTCTGTCTTAATCCTTCCAGGTCAGCAGTGCAGTAGAATGTAATGAATTCATGTTCAGGTGGGCAGCAGGGGGCATGAGACCATCAGGGAAGGTGGTGGTGACCTGGGGCAGGACTCCCTGAATGGGTCTTGTGAGAAGGAACAGCTTCCTCACACAGGCTCTTGGCTTGCTTTTCATTTCTAAGGGAGGGTTTCTGTCTTTTAGCATCCAGTATCTGTTAAAATAGTACCCAGGCACCTAGAGAGAATCAGACTAAAGACCGTAAGTGAGAAACAAGTTCTAAAAACAGTTTATTAAGAGCAGAATTTTTTATATTATGGTAAAATTGCATTATTCAAGAATAAGTTACTTGTACAGTACATACAGAAACAATATATAGAAAAACCTACTATACAAGAAGAACTCTTCTGTGCAGGTGAAAAGTAGAATTTTCAGATGAATATACTTTTCATCCAACAAACTGTTGGTTTTTATCATCCTGCTAAAGGCTGAGTTAGAGAATGCACAGTCACCTCCCCACCTCTGGTAGCTGCTGGTGAAGGCTAGGGTCTGTTTAGATCAAACAAGATTGAATTAAAATTTGAAGTACTCAAACCTGTTAGTTTGGTGGTGCCCTTTCTCAGGGCTGGGATGGGGGAGGGAGGGATGGATGAAGGGATTAAATAATGCTTTGTGCATCAACTTCTTCAGAACCTGTCACCTGTAAGGACACGCGAAAGCCACTGATGGGGAGAGTCTGTTGGCAAAGAGAGTCTGCGGTTTCCAAAGCACGAGATGGAGATGAGGGAGAGAAGTTCTGGCTGGACCCTAGTCTTAGGTTATGCACTAAGCCAGGTCCCTGCTGTCAGAGAGAGCAAAGGCACTGCCTGTTTTGCATCTTTATTGCCAAAAAGAGCTGTCCTGAGTAGCTGGCTGAACTGGGGCTTCCCTCCCTACCAGCCCTCTGCGGGGCTGTGTGAGTGGTCATCGGGCAAGGGCTCCAGCCAAAGGCACCGAGAGTCGCTGCCGGTTGGGTCATGGCTTTGTTAGGTTGGATCCAAATTTGCGTTGCACGTGCCCGTCTCCAGGGCCAAGGCACAAGCCAGTGGTCACCTCCAACTTTGTTTCAGCTCCAGGAAACACTCTTTCTACTCTATGGGAGGCCAGGAGGTGGCCATACCTGCAGCACGCAGCCGTGTGGGGGCTCATCCCTTGGCTTTCCCTCCTCCCAAAACTCAATGCTGATACTTCATCAACACTGCTAAAAACCCGCATGGGCCAGGGAACTAAACCTGCGAAGTCCTAGGCTCTTCTCCCAAGTTACTAGAAGAATCTAAAAATTCCTTCAAGTTGCTTATATTCTGTAGAATGGAATGGCTTAATGCTCTTTGCCCCCTACTATAATAGAGGCGTACCTTATGGGCTGGATTAATGTAGCCAAGCATGCTGGCAGGAGCAGAGGTAGGGCTGCGTGTCAGCTTCTGACCTATGTCACAAGCCTGATGCTTTCTAAGAGAAATTCAAACTCAGTCCTCCAGGAGCTGGGGAAATAGCCCCCAAAAAAACCCTCAGGTCCTGGTGTGGCTGGGGTTGGGACCATGGCGGGTCAGAGCTGCGGCAGAGCAGAGGACTGAGGTGGGCGGATGGTGGAGCTGGGTGGTTGGACAGCCCTTGGCTACCTTGTTGGTGAGGTCTGAGATGGAAATAACTCTATTAAATAATCAGAGTGACTTTCCTACTGCTCACAGCGGGGAGAACGGAAGTTCACATCCACCGGAGTCTGTGTGCACAGGGGAAGTGGCTGACGGGGTGATAATGAACTCAACATATATTTTGCTAATCAAGCACAGCAATTTCCATTTAAACTATGGAGAAACCCCTTGTAATTAAACTGCAGGTTAAAAATATCACATGTGTGTGCATGTTTAGTTGGCACTCGAACAACAAGCCCCAGCGTGCCAGAACAACCCATCCTAGCAGCAGCAGCATCTGATTTATCTGGCAAGAGCTGTGCGGGCTGTGAATAGCAATCCCTTTTCCCAGCCCATTCTTTTTTGCAGATGCTCTGAGCGTAGAGGGATTTGGGTGAGACTACATCGTCTTTTGGGACTGCCTGGAGCTCAGCAGGACTTAAATCAGCTCTTTGAACCTTAGCAAGATTTAGCACATGCAAGTGTTTTCTGAGGTGTGCATGCTCCGGGAACCATGCACCAAGCAGGCAAAGGAGCTGACGACTTGTGCTATGCTTCCTCCCCTTCCCCTCTTCATCCCTATAAATGCAAGACCACAGGGAGTTATTTATTAGCAATGGAGGGAGCTGACTTGCCTGGCACAAACCAGCCCCGGCTATATGCTCCTGCCATTCGGTGCAGCCTTTGTGCTGGTCTGGGGAGGAAAATGGGATGCAGATATGGCCAAGGACAGGGCTGGCTTTGTTTCTCTGGCAGCCTCGTCGGGTTTGGCAGTGCTGGAGGTGTGGCCGGCCAGTGCAATTTGCTCCTGTTTCAAGAGTGAGCATGCAACGGTGTGTGCTAAGCACCGGGAAACGCTGCTCCCTGCTGAAATACAGGATTGCTCCCCGTGTGCCCATTTCCAAGTCATTTTAAGCAGAGGAAAGGAGAAAAAAGACCTTGCCTGCTCTGAATGTACGAAGACAGCTCAAGAGAGGGCTGGAGCAAGAGATGGGGAGGCATAAAATGCAAATCCTAAGTGATTTCTTCAGTTGATGGTATCCAGTTTCTCCCTGCCCTCATCCTTTGACTACTACTTATAAAACCAGATTTGCTCTCACAGCCACTGCGTTTGGCCCCGGCTGTTTTGGCCCTGCCTGGTCCTGGCTCCTGCCTGCGCTACATCTGCCCTTTCTGGCCCAGCCCAGCACAACAGCGCCGTGATCTTGCCCTTCATGCTGACCTTAAGCAGAGCTTGGCTCCTTGGGCTTTGACTACCAACGGGGCTCACCATGCGCTGGCTTAACAGCAAAGCCCTGTCTAGAGGCTGGATTTTTGCAAACTCCTTAATTTGGCCCCACAAGGCTTTTTGTTTGCTTGCTTTCAAATTAATTCCTAAATGTTAATGCTCCAGATGGCTCCCACCTCTATTGCAATTTCAGGGAAAATAAATATAAAAATAAAAGGCTTTCCTGTAAGGCAATTTTAAGGCAAGTTTTGCATCCGAAATCCTGGGGAGTGCCGCACGGGCTGTGGTGAGAAATCTGGAAGTTGAATGCTGCGAACATCCTCTCCTGCGTGTTGCAACGGCTCCAGCCCCTTCCTTATTCTTAAAATAACGTCAGCTTCTAAGAAGCAGTTCCTCTCTCGGCGCGGCCGCACCGGCTGCCCCAGGCACTGGCAGGTAAAGCGGCACTGGGGCTCGGCGGCACCGACAGTTGCAGAACCTGAAAACAGCAGCGGAGGCTGGGGCACGGCCACACTCCTGGCTCCGGAGCTGCTCTCCTTGTGCGGGTGCCTTTGCCGGGGATTTGGGGGGGACATTGAGCCCTGGGGATTTGCTGGATGTGCGGTTGTTCCTGCGGTAGCTATGGCAGTGCCTACGTCTCGCTTGGCGTGCAGCTCACTGTGCAAGCAATCAGTGCTCCTAGGGCAAGATGCACACAGGCGAATAGGTTAAAGTGCCTGCCGTGTGTGTAATTACAGCCGTCGAGATGGCGACCACCGGCCTCCTTCGTCTAAGGCACGTCAGGGGGTGCAGCCCCTCTGTGGGCTTTGGGGGGGTTGGCTGGGAGAGGCTTCTACTCCAGGCAAGAGGCAGTTGCATAGCTTTAAATATCGCCAAACTCTTGGTTACGCAGTGTTTTATGGGGGAAAAAAGGCAGGTGAGAGCGGGGTGGGCAGTTGCCTGTGCTGGCGAGGTAAAAAAATATTCTGGGGGGGAAAACTCACTTTAGATTTGTGCCTAAAATGCCTCCATCACCAGGATAAAATGTCTCCATCACCGGGATAAAACACTTCCATCACTGGGATAAAATGCCTCCATCACCGGGAGGAGTGGTTTGCTGTCAGTCTCCATGTTAGTTCTCAGCTAGTGACATTATTAGTGATGGAGCAGTTAGTGTTCACATCTTAATTAGCAAGGCTAATGGTGTAAGTATTTCTCTGGCTGGTGCAAGGAGTGACTGCAACTGTGCTGGGTTAAAAAAGAAGAGCAAGAAAAGCCAGGTTTTGCCTTATCTAAAAATAAAGCCCAAACTCTGATCACGATCATCATCTTCACCTGATGCAGGAGCTCAGCTCCAGCAGGTCAGAGTTTGCTGGTGGGTTTGGCAACAGCATCATGTGCTGGCATGGGAGGATGGGGCTCGTCTTCTCCTGTGCGGCCCGGAGCAGCAACTGGTCGATGAATTTATAATCCACCTTTTTTTTTTCTTCTTTTTTTTCTTTCCTTTTTTTTTTTCCTTTCTCCAATTATATTGGTGTAACGCAAGACCCCGGTTCCTTCACTGGGCACTGTCGTGCCAGGGACAGGCGGGAGACCGAGCCCGACGGTGCGATGCTCGGCACACAGGGACGCAGGCACGAGTGGTGTGTGTAAACAGTAACAAGAAAGCTTCGATAATAACAACAAAAATAAAAATAAAAGGCCCTTTAACAGGCCAAAGAGAGGGAGCACACCCGTACTGGAGTGAAAAATTACCCCCTTCCTTGCAAAAATACAATAATCATCCCTAACCAGAAGGAAGAAACTAGGTACATTCTTTCTCTCGATGGGATACCTGGAAGGTCTCTAGGATTTCTCCACCCAAAAGTGCACCCCAGTGCCGGCACGGTGGCCGTCAGAGCGGCGTGTACTGGTTGTCGATGGCGCGGACGTGGCCCCGTCCTGGTGCCTCCACCTCGTAGTCCGAATCGCGGGGCCGGGGGCCGGGGACCATGGCTGCCCTGCTCGGGCGCAGGCTCTGCGCCAGCTCGGCCGGCGGCGGCACCAGGTGGAAGATCTGCTCCGGTGGGGGACCTGGGGGTGTCTCGTCGGGGCCGCGGGGGCAGGAGGAGCCAGCGGGGGCGAGGCTGAATTCGGGGCTCCAGCCAGGGACGGGCAGGGGGAGAGGGACCATGCTGCCGGAGCTGGGAGCTGCAGGCGGAGGGGAGAGACGGCTGGTCGGTGGGATGCTCCTGCCCCGTTGGCCCCATCGCGGGTATCGGAGTGGGGGTGCAGGGAACATCCTCCACCCCTCTCAGCTGCAGCAGGGAGCAGCCGGTGGTTTGGGGCAGCTTCTCCTTTCTCAAAAGAGGAAGCTGGGAACTCAGGAGTCACCTTTTGTGCTGCTGCACGGATGCTTCCGCTTCCCCATCCCTGTGTGCGGCCAAAGGGCCCAGGTCTGGCCAGCCCCAGGGCACCTGCATCCACCCCGGGGACCCTCCCGCCGCGACAGGGCCCCCCCATCCCTGCACCCCATGGGAACGTCCCCGTCTCTCCATGCCTGCATACCTTGCGGCTGGGGCAGGACGACGACGTAGCTGGACAGACGGACGTCGCAGGCTGTCCCGCACTCCAGCGGGATGGGGTAGCGATGGAAGTGGTGCAGCATCTCCACGATGGAGGAGAAGCGGAGGTGTTGGACACGGCACTGGCCCCGCTCCGTCAGCGCCAGCCGCAGGTGCTGCGGGAAGGGGCACGGACCTGTTACCCTTCCACCGGCTCCCTTGCTGGAGGAGATGATGGGGGGACACGGGGATATTTGGGGAGTGTGGGGGGACAAACGGCCTTAGCATGATGTGCTGCATCCCCAGTGCCCTGCTCGCTGCTGGGTGGGGAGGTTTGCCCCCCAGGAACGGGCATGGGCCCGCCAGCCCTCTGTGAGCATTGGGGCAGGGACCAGGCAAGGAGAGCATCTCCACAGGGTGGGATGCGATGGGACAGGGACCCTGCCGCGGCGGGGGGGGAGGGGGCTGCCCGAGGGGCTCCTGTGAGATTCCCCCCACCCTGCCCCAGCCCCTCTCCCACCCGTACCTTTGCTCTGCCCTGGAAGTTGAAGGTGAGCACGTACTCGCCACGGCGCGTCTCGCTCTGCCGCACCAGGAAGACACCGTGTCCCTCCAGCCCCCCCAGCTGCACCAGCTGAGCCGCCTTCACGCGGGAGATGGGCCCGTGGAACCAGGGGCAGGAGGAGAGGAACTGCTCCATCTTCAGCCCTGCCGCCTCCCCCGGGCCCCCCGGCGTTGCCCCTGCCAGGGCACAGGGATGAGCACCCCAGGGAAGCGGGGACCCCTGCCCATCAGCCCCGTCCCCCTCCCCTCTGGTTCTGTCCCCCCCTCCCCTCCATGCCATCTGGGGATGCCCGATCAGCCTGGCCGGCCATGGCAGGATGCAGCGACATCCCCCCCCCGCCCCGGTGAGGGATGCCCTGTCCCCAGGGTCCCCCGGGTGCCCCCGCTGCTCACCTTGGCCAAGGGTGTCAGTGCTGGTGGTGGGGCTGGCGGCCGCGGGGTCAAGGTGCCGGCACGCCAGGAGCTCGGGGTCACCCGTGTCGGACCTGCCGGGGACGGGAGAAGCCAGGCTGAGCGCTGGCGGCGGGGGGCTGGCACGGTGCTGGGGGACACAGAGTGGCCGTCCCAGTCCGCAGGCTCGGGGACATCCACCAGGCGCTTACCCCCTGCGCACACACTCTCGGATCTCGGCCGTCCAGGAGCTGAGCTGCTGCTCGTCCCCCGCCTCAAACAGGATGTCGGTGGCATTGGTGACCTGGGAGACATCGGAGAGGGACATGGCGGCTTCAGGGAGAGAGATGTGCATCCCCCTCCCACCCACCCACATTTGGCCACCAACCCTGAACCCACCCCGAGCAGAGCATCCCCCACCCCATGCGCCGCATCCTTCCGTGCACTCCCCCCTCCCTGACTGGGAACAGGAACCGAAATTTGGCACAGGAGCTTTCAGCAGCCACGTGCATCCGGGAGGGTGGGAAAGGCCTCGGGGCCGGCTGCGGCCCCCCCCTCAGCCGGGCCCTACCTTGAGGACGAAGGTGTGGAGGTTGTCAGGCATCTCGAGGCGCGTGCACCTCCGCACCTCCTGGATGGCAGAGCAGGCGGCATGAAGCTTCGGCTTGGAGCCCTGTGGAGGGGAGCACAGCAGCTGAGCCCCAATATGCCAAAACACCACCCCCACGTCCCACTGCTCTGCTGGGATGGGGGGGGAGAGGGGTCGAGCCTGCTGGGAGCCGCTTGAGGCACAGCAGCCGGCAAGGAAATACCCCACTCTGCAGGGAAAAACCCCACGTGGCAAGGAAATACCCTGCTCTGCAGGGAAATAACCCACCGGCAAGGAAATACCCCATGTGGCAAGGAAATACCCCGCATGGCACCGCCCGGCTGTCGGGGCACCCTGGAGGGGCTGAGAGGCACCCAGAGACGGGACCCATCTCGGTGGCCCCCCCCAAAGGACCCGGCAGTGGAGGGATGGGCGGAGGAGAGGAGGGAGAAGGGGGTTCCCAGCATGGCAGTGCGTGCCAGGGAGACCGTGTGCACCAATGGGGAAAATGGGGAGCAGGCAGGGAGCACCCCAGTTATGGGTGCTGGGGTTGGCAGCAGGCTTGGCAGTGGTGTGCCGAAAGCTCTCTGCGGCCGCTCAGCCGGTTTGGCGCTGACACAAGGCACATGACAAAATGCTGAGCAAACACTTCCAGAAAGGCTAATAATACCCCTCCCAGCAGCTTTCGGTTCCTCTGCCGCCTAGCACGCCTCGTGTGCCGGCAAGCGAGCCGCGAGCCGCTGCGAGGCTGTGGCACATGGCACCTGCCCAGCTGCCGCCGGAACTGGGCTGTATCCGGGGTGCCAGGGACCCTCCTGGGTGCAAAATGCCCCCGGGGGACCCCTGCACCGGTGCTGGGCAATGGAGCCGACCCCTCCATGCTCATCCCCGTGGCTGGAGCCAAGCGCACGGCTCTGTGAGCAAACCACTCTGTGCAGCCCAGCAAAGCCCAGCCAGTGCCGGTGTGTGCCAGGCACGCTCGTCCCCTTGCACCGGGCTTGCTGTCAGTGCGGCATGACAAGATTTTGGCTGACCGTGATTCACGTGGCAGCTTCAGCATCCCACAGGCTGAGTCACCGCACCCTGTGCCGGCTCAGGCCGTCCTCTCCGATCCACAGCCACCGTCCCCACAAGGATGCCAGGCTGCAGGCACTTGGCTGTGCAAACAGCGTTTGCCAACCAAAGCACATTAATTTTGCTCCGAGCTTGCGACGCTTACAGCAAAGTAACCCCCACCATGTCCCCAACCACCTGCACAACCCCAAGGGTGTCCCCACCAGGAGCTCAGCAACTCGGCACTCTCTACAGTCACCCAACCAAATCATGTTTGGTTGCTTTTATTTTTCCACACCCCCCCTCCGCTCCCCCCTTCCTCGACACTCTCAACCGAGGACTCGGTGTACTTTGGGGACGGAAATGCAGCGTGAGAGGGATCAGCCCTTATCAGTGCCGAGCTACGCTGAAAAGAAAGTTCTTAGAAGTCGCTCGCCGAACGGCATCGTGCAATGGGGTTGGTGCTACCACGGCAGCTCGCGGCACCCCCGGTCCCGTCGGCGACAGTGATTGCAGCTGCAGCTGCAGCTGCAATCACTGTCGCCGACGGGACCGGGGGTGCCGCGAGCTGCCATGGTGGCACCGGTGCTTTATCCCAGAGGATTTTGACTTTTTTGCTGTCCTTGGAAGATAACTGCGTCCTGTGCAAAGTCCTGCAGGGAGAAAGCGGAGGGGTTGCCCATCCTGGCTGCTTTCCCGCATGTGGGTTGTGACACCCAGCACGTCCTCTAGCTTGCTGGCGCAGCGGGTTTTATCGGCACGCATCCCGACTGCGGCGTTGGAGTCGGCCACCCGCTTTCCTAGGAAGTGGGAAATTCCAGGAAAAGGTAGTTCGGCGAAGCCCCCCACGTCCCTCCCTGGGGAGAGCGCAGACGGGGAGTGTGAAGGGAGAAGGAAATGATGCAGTATAGAGATACGGTGCCCAAAAACCAGTCTGGCTTCGGAGAAGTACCTACCGCAAGCATGGTGCCCCCACCCCCTGAACCACCGCACCTGACCGCAAGATGCCCTGCTCGATGGCAGTCAGTACCAAGAAAGGGATTTCTTGGTAACCAAAACTGCACACTCAACACACCGCATGTTCACCCAGCACCCACGGGCTCCTTCTCGGCAAAAAAGATGCCACAGCAGCATCGTGGGGCTGGGTACCCTCCACTGCTGGCTGGGCTTGGGATGCCCAGGATGCTCGGGATGGGATGGGATGCTTGGGATGTTGCCCCAGCTCAGTCCCCAGCCCAACCGGCATCAGCTCCCACCCCGGAGACTTCACCCTGCTGCTCTCTAAAGGATCCTGTGCATGTGGGGGAAACCCCAGTAAAAGGTTGAGCACCTCCCAGAAATCACCGGGGGACACAATGCCCCATAAAGCTGCACTCCCAAGCCCCCAGAACACAGCTGCCACCATGCCATCGCTGTGGCATCCCTGGTCCCGACACCTAACACACAAAACCGGCTGTCCTGGGGTGTGACGTGGGTGATCTCTGGCTCACAGGGCTGATGGTAGCAGGATCCAACCCGGTGCCCCCAAAGCCCCTCTCCCTGCAGAGGCTGACAGTGCCTGGGCACTGCTGGTGACATTGGGCCACCGATGGGGATGACAGCTCCATCGGATGGGGACGGAGGAGCCACGCAGGCTCTTGGTGCCTACTTTAAATGTAGTGCTTGAGAGCAGCGTCCTCCCACCTGCGGTCTGCTGACCCCCAGTATTTGTATTTTTGTTCTTTGCAGGAGATTTTTCTAGAGTTTAAAAATACAAAGCTTCAGCCAGGCCAGAGCTGTCCCCAGTGTCAGGGGACAGGAGACAAACTGGAAGCAGGAGGAAAATGCCCCCAGGACGAAACTCCCTCCTGCTCCATGCCCAGAGAATCCCACGGGAGACCAAGGCTCAACCCACTGCACCCCCCCGCCCTGTCCCATGTCCCCACATCCCCGACCCCTGGGGACTCCCTGCAGGGTGTCATGGGGAGCGCCAGCACAGCACAGGGAGAACCAGCATGGCACAGGGAACACCAGCACGGCATCCATGGTCACCACGCACCTAGGGAGAGCAGGGCGGCAGGGAGAATGTGGGGGTTGCCAGCATCTGCCAAATATCGGATGGAGACCCACACCAGCTTGATGCTGTGGTCGTGCCAGGACCATGAGCTGAAGGTCAGGCCAAGGTCACAGCTGTGCTCGGGCTTTGCAGGCGCGGAGAGGAGCTGCTGCGTTTCCGCCTTGCAAACCCCCAGTAACAGCTCTCACCGCAGCTCCTTCGCCCGCCACTTTCTTTACTAGCTGCGTTCACGCAAAGCCGGCGTGCAGGCAGCCGTGGTGCTGGCGGGCTGCCCGTGCCGATGAGCACCGCCGGTTCCTTTCGCGGTAATCCTCCCCCCGGCAGCCTTCACAGCACACCTTTCCACTTGCCTTTCGTGCTTTCACATATGAGCGGCGGTGGGGAAACCACCGCCCAGGAGGGCTGCCTTGGCACTGCGGGTCCCCTGGTACCTCTCCAACAAGGATATTTTGGATTTGCTTTTTTTTTTGGAAGCAAGACTCCTCCCAGCCCACCCACACACGCTGGGAAAGCTCTCACTGTGATGCTCTGAGTCGCTGCTGTAAGGAGCATGACCTGCATGGATGCACAGGGGACACTGCAGGTGCTGGGAGAGTTTTTTTGGCTGGGGAAAAGAGGAAGGCAGCCAGCTTTCCAAGAATGAGAGTGAAATCACACTGCCACACTGCCTGTACCTGGGAGACCTGCGGGTGCCAGTAGGTTTGACCGGCACTGGCATTGCCCGCGCACCGGCAGGGTGCTGGCACCCACCACCCACCCAGACACCCTCGGGCTCAGCCGATTTCTGCCAGGTCCCCAAAAAGCTGCCATCACCCAAAATGCTAGTTTGCACAGGAGGGAGCCGGAGCCAGCCACTCTTCCCAGCGGATTTGGCCAGTGCCTAGTCCTCTGCTGGCAAAGGTGGTGGTGGCATGGGGATGACAGTGGTGGCACAGAAATGACAGCAGTGGCACGGTGATGATGGTGGTGGCACAGCAATGACAGTGGTGGCACAGTGATGATGGCAGTGGCATGGCAATGACAATGGTGGCACAGCGATGACGGCGGTGGTACGGCGATGATGGCACAGCTGTGGCAACAGGGCCAGCAGGCTGAGACCGCACGGAGCAGAGAGCAAATCCTTCGACAGCGGCGGGTGCTGTCGCCGGCCCCTCCACGCGCAGGGGATTTCCCCATGCCAGCTCTTTCGCTTCCACTCTGAGTCACGCCGTGGGAGGTGGGGAAGCGCCGCGAGCCGAGCCCTTGTGCAAGGTCCCTAACGGATACGGGCGAGATTTGTTGTTTCTTGTAAATCACGGAGCCTGCCGTGTACCCCTTACGCAAGGGACAAACCTCAGCCAGAGCTGCAGCACTCCCGGGCACAGCTCAGCCCCGCCGGGCTGCCGGTGGACAGACAGACAGACAGACAGACAGGCTACCAAGATCTGCGGCGGAGCAAGCACTGGGTTATGCCGGCGTAAAACCACATCCCATGCCCACGACCCTGGGGAGTTTTGTGAAGTTCCCCCAGGAATATGGAGGCACGCAGCCCTGTCCTGGGGGATGCTGGGTGAACTGGAGGGGAACTACGTCCCATTGCTCTGGTGCAGGCAGCAGGGTGGCAGCTGGGGTCCTGTGGGGCCGGGGGGGGGGACACCAAGGGTCGAGCTGGAGGGTGCAAGGTGTCTGCTGGCAATTGTCCTTGGGTGTTTGCACCGTGGGGGATCCCAGCGTTCGACCTCAAGGCCTTTGCACCATAGATAATCCCAGCATGTGTCCTTGCGTGTTTGCACCATGGCCAGTCCTGGGGTTCATCCTCAGGGATTTCCACCACGGCTAATCCCAGCACTCAGCCTCACAAGTTTGTGGCACAGCTAATCCCAGAGTCTGTCCTCCAGGGGCTAATCCCAGCGCTCCGGCGGTTTGGTAGCACAGCTAATCCCAATGCTTCTCCTCAGGCCTTTGCACCGTGGCTCATCCCAAGGGGACAGGTCCA